AAAAATAGAAATGGTGGTTAGGAGGTCGTCTACTTCAACTTACCTGAGGTCCGGCTTACCGCTCTAGAGCTAGTTTAGTACAGCCCGCGGCGCTAGGCGCCGCGCACACCTTGAAATTACATGCGAAACAACTTACTCTCAGTGGCCGCGGGAAGCAACTTCGACTACATTTTTTCCCTTAACACTTCTAAAAATTTCCTCCTCTGCCTATTCTATTTCCCCACCCTCCGGAACCCTATAACCACCGTTTTTATGGGACCATATGCTGGGACAAGGGGTGTATGAGCGGAACTACATAAGCTACTTTTGCTTCTACAACTTCCCGATTCTACATACATGACGCCTGGCTGAAACAGTTATGGAGTTTCCGTCCATTTGCATCCGTAAAATTACTGTCGAACAGTTTATCCCATAAACTTAAGAAATGTTTTTTCAGGGAAAGTCGTCCTTTGGCAAAATTAAGAGAATTTACTGAATAAATTTCCAAATTTTCCCAAAAGACGCCTTTCCTTGAAGTTCATCCCATATGCACTGAATCCTGTGCGTTTTATTATCTTAGGATTAGCGTTATCGGTGAAGGTGATGGTAATAACAGTCCTACTAGCAACCTGTAGCACAGAACATGGTGGCTGCATAAGTAGGACGGTTCCCCAAGGAAAGTGGAGACTTTCAGGGTATCATAAGGACAAGATGCAACTGGACAGTAGCTCCCCACCGAGATGTCCAATTGTGCCTTCGGCTTTGAGTGGGTGACTTTGTCCATAGCCATAGTCAGGTTTCTTTCTGCGCGGGCCAGTCTTTCCTCCAGCTCAGCCTTTTTATCCGTCATTCGCATTAGCTCGAGTTCATGGCTGGCTGCAGTCTCATCCAACCGACGTGCCTCATCATCCAAAGTGCTCATCTCCACGGTGAATCGCTAAAATGTTGAGGGTAAGCATTAAGTAAGCAAATAGTTAGTTGCCAATACAAGCGAACATGATAGTCCCAGGAAGTAATTCAGAAGAAGATGATGATTCGATCGTTGAGACAACACTTTTATACCTTCGATGGGTATTCAGAGAAAATGACAAGCCGTGCAACGTCGTCAACCGGTGCTTGCGCAAACGAGATGGACAACAAGATCGCACCGCCCCTAAAATCTGGCGAGCGATCCCGTACGTCAAAAACGTCTCGGAGGCCGTCGGCCGCTTTCTCGCACCATTTGAATTTGGAGTCGCACATAGGCCGGAGGCAAACATAAGGCGTCAGATAATGAAACCAAAAGACCCGCTGCCACGGCAAAAAACATCTGGAGTTGTCTACAGGATCTGGTGCAGTTGCAGACGTCT